TTATGACTTTGGGCGTGGGAAGGAAAAAGTCAGCACATCAAACGATATTACAGACAAATGGCTAACATGGAGACAGAGCACTCAGGCCGTGGCTCTCCTCTAAAAAACAATGGCTCTGCTTTTTCTGCCAAAGATACTGTCTGCCATCTAACCCACAGCCAGGCACTCTTCTCTGTTTTTCATATCCCCCCTCCATTCTTATCCAGGGTAATTCTTCTTTCTAATAATTTCTTTCTAAAAATAGCTGCCCAATCCTAATCTTCTCCTTTCTTTTCCCACTCTGATCCTAAACTCAAACCTTAAAGTTATCCAACTCTTTTTTTTTTTAAATAAAATTTACGTCTCTGTGCTTTGACACAATCAAATTCTAAATCTGTAAAAGCTTAGTCTTCATAATTCTCTTCAGATGAACTATTAAAAACAGAAACAGTTCAGATACTTAAGTTGGTTGGCATTCAACTGCGCCTCCCCATTTCTCATTTATATCTTATGCACTGTCATTAGCTCCAAAAGCTGAAACACAGAAATGTACATACTACCTTTCACATCTTTTAAAAGAGATCATTTGCAACTAAGTATGCAAATGGCCCTCTACCTTATATTTAGCACTATGGATTACACAAATGCTAGGTAGGTATTAAATACAAAAGTACAGAACTAGAAAAGATGTGGATCATAGCCCTCCTCACTCAGGATCCTTGATCAACTACAAATTCAATCTCTCAAATTCCTCACCTGTTAAAATGGAGATAGCATCTCCATTACCTGCCTCATAAGGTGACTCTGAGGAATGAGAATTCACAGAATTAAGTGTAAAGCACCATACTAAGTAAAAAAATATTCTTACCGGAGCGCAGCTGTGTTGAAGTGGAAGGGCCATGCAAATTAAAACTGCACCAAGACACACTTGGGTTCAAACATCCCCTGTCCCCCTAGTAATTGTTCACCTGTGGATTAAGCATCATCTAGGGCCTCGGCTTCATCCTCTGCCAAGCATGGAGGATAATTACCTCCTAGGTTGTGAGGATTAAATTACAATGCTATGGAAAGCACCCGGCACAGACAGCACGTGGTTAATGTTAGTGCCCTATTATCAACAAGGCTATTTTTTCTGCAAAAACAAAACTGTCCTTTTCAGGTTTGGCCTTGAGTCCTATGCAACGATTCTGCGATTCAGTTTGCACAAGAGCTTTGCAAACATGAGCAATCAGGAACACAACCACACTATTCAGAAAATACACTGGTTCAGAACTGCAACTCGTCTCAAGTAAGAATGTGATTAACCTCACGGAAGAGCACATGATTACCATCAGCCTAGCACAATTAGTGCCTTTTTACGGTTTATATTAACAAACCACGAGCTATTCAGCAAGTACATGACCCAGCATCCAAAGTTTCATTCTGGGTTTACTTTTCCTTTCAAACTCGGAGAGGATAATCAATTTGAGAGCATATAGATTTTGGAGTGTAAAAAACCGCTGCAGCTTGGAGGAGCATCATTCATAAAGCCCTTGGTTCTGCACCAAACCTCGCTGTCCAAGGGCTCAGATACACTACTGGAGAGCAAAGCGGTGTTTTAATGTGTTAAATTAAACGTGCAAACACGGCTTCTTCCTAAGGGAGAGAAAAACGTGTCTGAACAGGAGAGTTATTTCTCTCTCCCCATTTGCCCAGCCTAAATTACGAAGCTGACTGACGGTGAGGCCTCCTTAGCACCGGGAGTCTCCTTCTGCAGGAAAGGGCGCAGATCCGTTCCTACCTGTTCGGAACTCCCCAACTGCCCTGCTAGACGGACAGACCCCGAGGTGGACCGCGACCTTGCAAGAAACGCAAAGCCAACTCTGGGCTGCAGAAGTGAGGCGCCCCTGCCCTTACCCTCGCTGGAGTTCGCGACGGTCTCGGCTCCACCGGCCACGCCGGGTTTGGACGCCAGCACCGCCAGAACCAGCAGCCGAAGGAGGCCCATGGCCGCCCGGGCCAGGCCCCGCAGCCTCACCGGCGCTACCCCGGGGCGCTCGCGCCGGGTTCCATCACCTTCCAGGCGCACACGCCGCACACCTGCCAGTCCCGCACTGCCTGCTGGCGACGCAGCCGCCCGCCTCCACCCCACGGAGAGGTTTCCTGTTCCGGCAAACACCCCGCAGCCCCACACCGCGCCTCTCCCCGCCCCCCCACTACGTCACCGCCGCGGGTACCCTCCGCCGCCCGCGGCGACCGAGGGGCGTTTCCTGCCGGCGCGCGCCCCCTGCCGGCGCCTCGCGGCTCCGCTGAGCGCCGCGCTGCCCGCGAGCCCCGGCGGCCTCGCGCGCGGGTCGGGGTAGAGGAAACCCCGGGAAGCTCTGTGGTGTAACCTGCACTTGGCACTTCTGTATCTTTCCTACTTAAGAAAACCGCCGTTAGAGTGAAAAATAACTTTCTGTTGCGGCCTAACGTCTCCAGGCTCCTGTTCCGTGTTTAACTGCCCTTTGGAGAAAGGAGAAAACGGGAAGGAATCTGGTGCCCTAAACGCACCAACAATGGGTTTCCCTTAGTTATTCCGGCGACGTTAGCATGAAAATGCAGGGGGAATTGAATTTCTGCACTGATTACTTACGTTAGTGATGTGGTATTTATTTATTTTTTATTTATTTCTAGGAGAGAGAGACAGTTTGAGCAGGGGAGGGTCAGAGAGAGAGGGAGTCATATTCTGAAATAGGCTCCAGGCTCTGAGCTGGCAGTCAGCACAGAGCCCGACGCGGGGCTCGAACCCACGAACCGCGAGATCATGACCTAAGCGAAAGTCAGACGCCTAACCGACTAAGCCACCCAGGCACCCCAGTGATGTGGTATTTAAAAATAAAGTTTCATTTTCTCTAAGCGAAATATCCTCGAAATAACCCAACTTTCTCTCCCAAATTCTGAGCAATGTTTAAAGGACAGTAGTCCGTGTGATAGATGGCTTGTGAGTTGATGGTGGAATTAGATTTATAGACTCTGTTATTTGGGGGGAAGATTGCTCTGTTTTCTTTTGCCTGCTCTTCAGACTTCTCATTTAGATTTTTTAATGGGCAACTGTCTTGAAAAATACATATTCAGTTATTCCACTACTAAATACCTATAGCAATCCCCATAATCCAAACAGGCACAACACTTTGCCTGTTTTCCCTCTGCGTGGTCCAAATGTTAATACCCTTGTTAGTACTGTCTATCCCTAAGGTGTTTATTCACTGTCCCAAATGCTTTCAGTCCTGTAACTCTGAATAGTTGAAATCCCAGGGTGTAAGAGCAATTATATAAGGGTAGCATTTGAATCAAAGGATGGATTTAATAAACTGATAACTGATTAACTCCCTATTGGGGAGGCAGGATTAGAACTCTATCTACCTCACCCTATCAAAATGAAATCCCAAAGTATGAAATAAAACCATAAGGGAGTTAGAAGAAATACATGATTCAAAAAACAAACAAACATGCTCCTGGGTGGCTCAGTCGGTTCAGCGCCCGTCTTCGGCTCAGGTCATGATCTCACGGTTGGTGGGTTCCAGCCCCACGTCGGGCTCTGTGCTGACAGCTGGCTCAGAGCCTGGAGTCTGCTTCGGATTCTGTGTCTCCCTCTCTCTCTGACCCTCCCCTGTTCTCTCTCTCTCTCTCGCAAATAAATAAAACATTAAAAACGAACAAAACTTGATCTCAGAATGGAAGAAACTTTTTTTCCCCAAAAGAGTTTATTTAAGCAAGAATCTATTTGTATCTGGAAGCACCAAGTAGAAGTGGTTAGAAGCATTCAGGGGAGGAATTTTTTTTTAAGCTTAGTTTATTTATTTTGAGAGAGAGAGAGAGAGAACAGGCGTGTGCACAAGTGAGGGGATGGGCAGAGAGGAGAGAATCCCAAGCAGGCTCAGCACTGTCAATGCAAAGCCCGACTTGAACTCACAAACCCGTGAGATCTTAACCTGAGCCAAAATCAAGAGTCTGATGCTTAATGGACTAAGCTACCACCCAGGTGCCTCCTCAGGGGAGGAACTTTCTAAACAAGGGGGGAAAAAGAGCGAAGAAGGAAACAATAAAGGAGAAGATTGGTAGATTTGGCTACTTAAAAATTTAAATTGGAGGTGGAGAGGCACCTAGGTGGCTCATTCAGTTAAGCCTCTGACTTTGGCTCAGGTCATGATCTCACAGTTTGTGAGTTCAAACCCTGCCTCTGGCCCTGTGAAGATGGCTAAAAGTCTGTGGACTGCTTTGGAGTCCGTGTCTCCCTCTCTCTCTGCCCCTCTCCCCCTTGTGGTCTGTCTCTCAAAAATAAATGAAGATTTTTAAAAATTTTAACTGGAGGCTCCTGGGTGACTCAGTCAGTTGAGCGTCTGTCTCTTGATTTTGGCCCAGGTCATGATCACACTGTTGTGAGATCGAGCCTCACCTCAGGCTCCCACTGTGCTTGGAGCCTGCTTGCGATTCTCTCTCCCTCTGCCCCTCTCCCACATGAAAGCATGTATTCGCTCTCAAAAGAAACTTTTTTTTCAAAACTCATATGTTTTAGAGAACAACTGATTGTGATTTATGAAAATGCAAGTTACAAGGCAATATATATATATATGTAGTATGAGCTTTATCATGTTTTCTTTTTATTCATGTTTATATGCACATAAATAAATGTTTATTAAAACATCTAAATGTTTATTATTTTTAAGGCTTATTTATTTTGAGAGAGAGAGAGAACACAAACGAGCAGGGAGAAGCAGAGAGAGAGAGAATCCCAAGCAGGCTCCATACTGTCAGCCCAGAGCTGGATGCAGGGTTTGAACCCGTAAACTGTGAGACCATGACTGGAGCCTAACTCACGTGTCAGACACATAACTGTGAGCCACCCAGGCATCCCAACACACCTAAATGTTTAAAATAGTTATCTCTGAGTGATTGGATTAAGAATAATTTATTCCACATTTCTGTACTTTGTAAAAAATTCAACACTGAACATGTATTACTTTGAATAAAAAATTTTAATTTTTAAACGATGTGTATAATTTTAAAGATTTTCTTATAAAAGTCTTCGGGATAACAGTCCAACTTCCTGGGTATGACACAGTGGTTTTCATGATGTAGTTCCTGTCCACCTCTCCAGGTTCGTGCTGTAATTAAATTTAATTCCTCTCTTAGCCACACTGAATTAATTTCAGTCTCCTGAACTAACCCCATCATTGTCTCCCCTCCATACCGTTGCATAGCAGTTCCCTTTGCCTGCAGAGGATATAGCTGATGACAGATGTGTCAGCAATCAGAACAGGGCTTTATTACCTTGGCTCTGAAATGCTGTGACAGCTTGGGAAAAATATTGGCTGAGCTTCCTTGCTCATGTCAGAATTCCACTGGAAACCTATGAATCAAATTGGCTCAGGAGCTTTGCAGGTGAGTTTGTCATGCCTACGAATTGAAAGGAAATGCAAAAATGAAGACTCCCAAACCCTAGATACAGATAACTAGAGCTTTAACGTGTGGTTAAAATTTAGAAAAGGAAGGAAGACAAGCAACCTATCAGAAATAGGTTTTAGGAAATGGGTTTTAGAAAACCCAAGACATTGGATAGAAATGGGAACAGGGCTCCAGCAGAAAGGCAGAAAAGACATTCTGTGAAACGTGCCCAACTCTTTTAACAACTCTTTTGTTTCTATGAGTCACAGTGTTTTGACACTGCTTATTAAATAAAATCCAATAAATGTTTACTTAGTAACTATTACATGGAAATCATTATGCTGGAAAATTCATTCATTTAGTCCGCAAATATGCATTGATTGGCTTCTATGTGCCATGCTAAATGCCGAAAATTAAAATGCTTTCTGCTCACAAGGAGCTCATGGTAGTGAGTGAGTTAGTCATGTATGAATAATCACACCTCGGGGCACCTGGGTGGCTCAGTTGGTTAAGTGTCTGACTCTTGGTTTTGGCTCAGGTCATGATCTCATGGTAAGGGAGTTCGAGGCCCAAACTGGGCTCTGCTATGATAATACGGAGCTTGCTTGGGATTCTCTCTCTCCTCTCTTTCTCCCCCTCGTCCGCTCACACATGCATGTGCATACACACACATCTCTCTCTCTCTCTCTAAATAAATGAACTTTTAAAAAAATGAATAATTACACCTCAATATGCCAAGTGCAATAACAAATGTATAAGGAACAATTGTGGTGAAGATTTGGGAACAATTAACATAGTGTAGGGTTTCAGAAAAGGTTTTCTAAACAAACAAACAAAAAAAAGAAATGTTTAAAATAAGGTGAGTGGGTGGTCAACAAGGGAACAAAGGGAGTCTAGTATACTAAATGCTTACTTACAGTATTTCAGCCCACTGCTTGGAATGTTTTAGATGTTTAATAAATCGTGACTGAGTAGGTAATAAAGGTAGTTAAAAGTCTAGAATATTAAGTTAAAGAGTTGTTAAAGATTTTTTTCTGAAAAAATAGGGAGTCACTACAGATTAAAGAAAATCGAAATACTTACCACAAAACTGGCTTTGAGTTGATAATTGAAGCTGGGTGATGAGTACGTTAGTGTCCACCTTGCTATCCTATTTTTGTATAGGTTTGAAACTTTTAATAATATGAAGTTTAAGAGTGCCTCACTAAGTCAGAAGAGCATGGACTCTTACTGTTGGGGTTGTGAGTTTGGGCCCCATATTGGGTGTATAGATTACTAAAAAAATAAATAAATAAACTTAATATGGAATACTGGGCTTCTGCTCTTCAAGCCATATAATCCAGTTGGGGATGCAAGAAAAACAAATGAAAAAGCATGTGAAAAGGTGTAAAAGTCGTCAAATAGAAAAAAGTAGAGATCCATGTGAACTCCAGTAATTCTTAAAATGTACGTGAAAAGGGTAAAACTTTAAAAGATAGAGTACAAATTAAATAGTGGCAAAGAAATTGTTTTGATAAAGGTAAAGAATGAGGAAAGAGGTAGACCAGTGGGTCTCAACTGGAGGAAATTTTGCCCTGCAGGATACATTTGGGTATATCTGGAGATATTTCGTATTGTCATAATTGGAAGGGGAGTTTGCTATTGGCACTTCATGGGTAGAGGACAGTGATGATGCTAAACATTCTACAATGGCCAGGACAGCATTCCAGAAAAAATAATTCAACCTAAAATGTCAATAGTGCTGCTCTTGAGAAATTGTGAGCAAGACACAAAAGACTGCTTTTGGAAGGTGGGTTTTTTCCCTGAAGTCCACAGCTTCAAGGGATTCATAAACCCCTTTAAAATGTATGAAAAATTTTGAGCCTCGTCTGAGGAAAGGGTCCATAGCTTTCATCTGATTCTTAAAGGTGTCCATGGCCGGAAAAGCTTAAGAAGCCCAGGAAAGCCAAGGGTTCAAGGACTGTGGATGAATAACCTGATTATTTCACACAGAATATTATTGGGAGAGGAGGCTGGATTTGTTTGCTAAAGACAGATTACAGTGAACCTTGAAAACCAACCCAAGATGGCTGTACATCAATCTGAGGTCTCTGTGGAGCTTCTGAACAATCTATAAGGAAGATAATAACAGGACAATAACTGTGTCATAACATGAGTTGTCTTGAAGTGGTTCCTCTGTCCTGGGTGCCCAGGTTTTCTTCAATCAGGCCACAAAACAGTACACTCCTTTATGGGCTTTATTATTCATCCCTACATCTATCCAGGCACAAACCCATGTTAATATTTCCTTCAAAACGAGTCTTTCTTCTTCTCTCATCAGTTAGTAGCCTAGTCTAGGCCCAACCCATTTTATTCTTATAACTTCAAAGCCCTCCTCCCAATGAGCCCCTGGTTTATTCAAACCCAGCACCTAACATGGCAAGCCTTCATTAAGGTATACTCTCAACTGAGGGTGAGAAGAAAAGGTCCCAAGATTACTCCATATTACAGTTAAAACAAGAGTTAGCTCTTGTAATCCCACTATGGGGGGAAGTGCCTCACCTGGAGAGGTTCCTAATTAGGTCCCAGCAGATATGTAGATTGGGGATTGAGGAGAAGTAGTGCTGAAGCAGAAGTAGAGCGTCCCAGCTAGAGTTGGGGTAAATCCAACAGAGTTCCCAATAATCTCCCCCACCCTCTCCCAACTTCAGTAGGGTGATCAGAAATAATCAGCCCAAGAAGGAAGGTGCAGGAATTTGTGTCAAGCCCACAAACCAGTCATTTGTCCAGGCTCATTTCTTGCCAGACCGTCTTCAGGCTAGAAGTGTTCTTAGATACCAAGTTTCTCTCTTTCTTTTTAAAGTAATCTCTACACCCAACATGGAGTTCAAACTCAGAACCCGGATATTAAGAGTCACACTTGGCCAGCCATGCTTCCCAGATACCAAGTTTCTACTAGCTTCCTTCACACTTAAACCCTCAATAGGTCTAGAGGCTAAGTCTAAATTGTATACCTTATCTGTTTAAAAATTGCCCCTACTGAAGGGGCCTGGGTGGCTCAGTCGGTTAAGCGTCCGACTTCTGCTCAGGTCATGATCTCACGGTTCGTGGGTTCGAGTCCCGCGTGGAGCTCTGTGCAAATGACTAGCTCAGGGCCTGGAGCTTGTTTCAGATTCTGTCTCCCTCTCTCTTTGACCCTCCCCTGTTCATGCTATCTGTCTGTCTCTCTCTCTCTTTCTCACAGAAATAAATAAAAAACATCAAAAATTTTTTTTAAAAATTGCCCCTGCTCTACCAACACATAAAGCTTATTTTCCAGGAACCTCCACTCTGCTCTCCACTAACCTGTTCTTTACACGGAGTTCCTCGCTGTCACACAAACCGAGTTGCTTATTAGTTACCTACAGTCAAACCTTTACCTGTTAGCTCCAAAAGCTCTTCTTCCGCCCCACCTTTGCCCCCGGAAATCTTTCTTTTCCATCCATACTTCTTCTAACACAGTCAATACAGCTCGATTTGGTATTGAACTGTTTCGGACGCTTTCCGGCCAACGTGTGTCAGCTTCCCCAGCACACCCACACTCAGAATTAAAGCACGCACCCAGTCTCTAACTTGGGCAGCGCCCCACCCCCCGCCCCGGCATCCAAAAGCAACAGACAAGGCACCCTAACGCTACCAAGATTGCCTGGTGATCTTAATTCGCGATTACAATCTGGATTTGCTGAAGTTAAAATTGGTGTCGCGACCCCCAAATACTCTTGCTCGCTGTGTGTATGTATTGTGGTCCACGTGTAAAAGCAAAGCAACTTACGCAAGTATTCAAGGCAAAGCTTAAACATGAATACAAGGGAAGGTAAGGGAAATTACGTTTAAAATCGCAGAGTCTAACAATCTCCGTCAAGTCTTTAACACCCAAAAGCGAACGCACTCGGAACGACCCCCCCAAAACGCACAAACCCTCGCAGCAGATATCTCCGCGGCGGGCGCTCGTCTAAGTAAAGCCTCGGGAAAGTCCCACCCACCGTCTTCGCCGCGCGTGGAGCTCCGCTTGACTCCACCCCTCGCAAGAACGCTGTCCCGTGATTGGCCACGACGCGTCCTGAAGCTGCCCAATCGTGGACGAGCAGCTGCCTTAGCCTCCTCAGCTTGTGGGAGGAACATGGCGGATCGCCTCACACAGCTGCAGGACGCGGTGAACTCGGTGAGCAGTTTCGGTCTCTTAGTCTCTGTCTCCCCCTTTCCGATGGTAAAGCAAGAGAGCAAAAGGGGCCCGAGAAACGACCCCGCAGGTGGGGAGCGGACTGAGGCAGCGCCTCAGCGGAGAGCGCTGGCGGCGGCGCGAGGCGGCGCGGCGTCCTGGGAGGTTTGAGGCCGGCTGCCGGCGCTGCGGAGAGCTGAGGGAGGAAGCGAGCAGCCTCTTTTCCCCCCGAAAAGTAGAGGATCTCTCTGCCGGGACACTTAGGCGTCACGGCCCTGCCCTGTTCTCTGGGAAAGGTTTATTGTACTGTCAGGAGTGCTTAGGAGATCACTTGTCTTTCGGGGAAAAGGGGAGAAGCCGCAGAAGCTGCTGCTTTTCTCCTCTCAGCTTTGAGGCGCGGAGGAAAACCAGTGCTCTTGATTATTGGCTCTTTTTCGTTAAATGTCAGCCAAGAGTATTCCTTCGCGAGGACTTTCGGGGGGGGGGGGCAGTGATGGTGACGTGAGAAGTTTTGTTTTATCTTAGTTGGTTCCTATAGACAAAGAGTCTGATTCCATCTCTTGGCGACTCCCTAGCGTAAATTAGTTTGGGAAAAACTAACATCTTTTTGAAAGTGAATCTTCTAATCCTTGTATACGTTGCGATTTAAGTCGTCTTTAATGTGTCTCAAAAAGCCTAGATCCTGGTAAGGGCCAAATCATCCCCCTTACTTTGATCCTTCTGATTATTTTTCCCATTGTGCCTAACTGGAAAGTACTGTGTGTGCAAGGGTACACAGTATTCATATACCCATTGCCGTTGAGTTAAACAATTTCTCAGTAGTAGCTATATTTTCATTGTCATTCTATTTGTAATCTGATGGCCCAGGTAAATTGTCTATATAGATACGATATGCTGACTGGAAAATCGAATTATCTGATCTCTTGCCAGTTTTTTTCACACTGGAAGCCAAGAAGTTGGGAATATTCGTATGACGTCAATCTTTGTACACTTCAGGGGTGTGAATCTACTTGTGAGAAACAGGTCTACTAGTGAATAAAATAAGACCTTTTGGATCTTAGGACCTAAAAATACGACCTTTCAGGACCCAGAGGGCCAGACCCTGAGTGTTGATAAATTCACCTAGATAAATGCTACTTTATGGTGACTTGCCTGGGCTGCCCGCCAGTGTCCCTCTGGGAGATATTCCTTTGAAGCTTTTCAAGATCAAATTGTAATGATGCTGCTGGGTAGGGATGTTATTTAGGAGAAATGTTGCATATCCATGCATGTCTTATAACCAGAAAGACAACAGGACAAAGCGAATATGGCCTTAACTCCAGGGTAGGCATGCCGATAATTGGATTCTGGGGAGAAACCTCTAGGTTAACTAGTATGAATGCCTACTATGTATGTAAGCACTGTCATGTTTACAGAGAAATATACTCCTTGAAGAGTTCACAGTCTAATTAGAAAGATGTCATATACTCACGAGACATTTAGATAATGCAAAAGTAGTATGTGGCTAGGTACTTATTATGAATCAAGTGTCTTAAGCTGAAGGTGCTGAGGTAAATTAGAATAGAGTGATATGAGCTAAAATAGAGGAAATCTTAGCATTGATCTGAATCGTAATTATTGTTAAATTATTAAAATAACTTATGTTTTACACTCTGAGAACTCTGTGAGGGCCAAAACTATGTCTCTGGTTCACTGTATCACTGTAATGTTTATATAAGAGTTGATTCTCAAGAAATATTTGTTGGATCAGTGGATCTTGAGAGCTTTTGAAGGACAGAAGAGATAGCCATCGCGGTGAATAATTTTGTGTGTGTGCATTTTCTTGATTACTCAAAACAATGTTGTAATGTGAGAATGTCCCTAATTTAAAAATGAAAAATAAACCTGATTCAGGTTGCTAGAACCAGAATTAGAATCCACGTTTGTACAGTTTCTGAGCACTTACTACGGCTCCATTACAAGTAGCAAAATGTGAGAAAACATAGGAGTAAATTTATCACTAGTGTATATATATATACACACATATATATACACATATATACACTATTGTATATACACAATATACAATATATACAATATACACTATATATACATATATATACACCATATATATACACTATTGTATATACACAATATAAAATATGTACAATATACACTATTGTATATATATGTATATATACGTGTGTGTGTATATATATATATATATATATATGAGGGAGTAGTTGAAAACGAATAAGCAGAGTTGACTTAGATTGTTGAAAGCTTTGAAACAGCCTGAAGAATTGGAGATTAATCTTAAAGGCCATGCCGGGATGAGCTCAAAATGTTTGAGCAGGGTAAAATAACATAGTGAACCAGAAAACAATGAGATTTTTGTAACAATTTTGATGTGAGATAATTGACTGAACTAACACAGCAGCAATGATGACAGAAGGAAAAGGGAAATGTAACAAGGATTTGAAGATGAAGGGAACCTAAGAGCCTGAAGGGAACCTAAGAGCCTGAAATTAGACTGGCTAAGTTGGAGATTCGCAATACAAATTAGATATTAAAGGAAACCGTTGATTTGGAGCTCTGACATTTATTTGTTTATTTTTTAAAACACTTTCTCCTCCTCCTCCTCCTCCTCCTCCTCCTCCTTCTTCTTCTTCTTCTTCTTTTAATGTTTGTTTTTGAGAGAGCACAAGCTGGGAAGGGCAGAAAGAAAGGGAGACCAAGGATCCGAAGTGGGCTCTGTACTGACCTTAGTGAGCCCAAAGCGGGGTGAGCCCAAACTCATGAACTAGGAGATCATGACCTGAGCCAAAGTCAGGCACTCAACCAACTGAGCCACCCAAGCACCCCAACTTCTGCCATTTAAATAATGGTAGAGAAACTTAGTGGAAATGGTCATTCACTGATTGCAAATAAGGAATTGAGGTTCAGGTGGTGCCTGGATGGCTCAGTCTGTTGAGCTCAGGTCATGACCTCAGGGTTGGTGAGTTACAGCCCCCCATCAGCTCCCTGCTGTCAGCACAGGGGCGGCTTTGGATCCTCTGTTCTCTCTCTGTTTGCCCCTCCTCCACTTATGCTCCCTCTTAAAAACAAATAAACATTAACAACAACAAAAGGAATTGAGGTTCAAAAGCTCAGCGCTATTGAGGGAAGTTGGTGGGGAAGACAGGACACTTACGTTTGGAGATAGTAAGGAATTGGCATTCTCCGACTTCAAAACTGCTTAAAGAATACTTTTAGCTCACTGGGAGCTTACATCTTGAGTCTTGGAGAAAAACATTTCTGAATACTTAAGGGACAGTCTTTTTTTGTTTTTTAAATTGAGGTATAATTGACATATAACATTAGTTTCAGGTGTACAAAATAATAGTTGCATGTATTGCGAAATGATCACAATTAGTTTAGTTAACATGTCACCAAATGTAGTCACAGAGTTAAATTTTTCTTGTGATGAGAACTTCTAAGAGTAGTAACTTTCAAATATGCAGTACAATATTAACAGTAGTCACCATACTGTACTTCATAACTGAAAGTTCTTACCTTTTAATCCCCCTCCCTCATTTTGCTCACCTTTCACCCCCACCTCTCCTCTGATAACCACCAATCTGTCCTCTGTGTTTGAGCTCAGTTTTTGCTTTGTTTAGATTCCACATATAAGTAAGATTATGTAGTATTTGTTTTTTTCCTCTGGCTTATTTCACTTAACATCATGCCCTCAAGGTCCATTCATGTTGCAAAGGGCAAGATTTCACTTTTTTTTTTTTTTTATGGGCAAATAGTTTTCCTGTTTGTGTATATACCACAATTTCTTTATCCATTCATACATCAATGACCTTAAGACTTCTTAAGGCGGAGTCTTTTTCCTGCTATTTCTTTATACGTATTCCTACTTTTGTCTCAAAAAGGGATCATATACTTCATATATGAATCACACATTAAAAATTTATCCTAGGAGCACATGTACCCCAATGTTCATAGCAGCACTCTCAACAATAGCTAAAACATGGAAAGAGCCTAAGTGTCCATCAACAGATGAACGGATCAAGAAGATGTGGTTTATCTATACCATGGAATACTACATGGCAATGAGAAACAATGAAATCTGGCCATGTGTAGCAACATGGATGGACCTTGAGGGTGTTATACTGAGCGAAATAAGTCAGGCAGAGAAGGACAAATATCATATGTTTGCACGTATAGGAGGATTAGGAGGAACTTGACGGAGGAACAAGGGGGAGAAGAAGGGGGGAAATGGTGGGGGGAAGGGAGAGAGGCAAACCATGAGAGACTCTTGAATGCTGACAAAAACTGAGGACTGATGGATGTGGGGGGGAGGAGGATTGGGCATGGAGGAGGGCACTTGTGGGGATGAGCACTGAGTGTTATGTGGAAACTAATTTGACAATAAACTATTTGTAAAAAAAAAAAAAAAAAATTTATCCTAGGGCCATACTTAGATATTTGCCAAATTTGCTGTTTCCCACCACTGCCCCCAAAAAGTCCTTACTTAGCTTGTAATATTGGCATATATTTCTCTTATTCTATTACCTTGGGAAGAAAAGAAATATTATTTTGTGTTTCTTTTATCTGTTTCAGCTACATTGACACCAAACCTAGTTTCTTTGAGTGATTAAAACATTTAATCATTTTAAATAACTGGCTAATTTTATCCAAAATTGCTCCTGTTTTATTTCAGAGATTGTTATTATAGACACTTATTTTTGTTACTGTTACCAGTCACAATCTTTGTAACTGATAAATCCTTTCTGACTCTGATACATTTTCTTTGGCTTCAAG